TGCTGATCAAGAACCTGTTGTCAGTAAATATTAGAAGTATCTCCAGGTACCTCTAAATGGTCAAAGAATGGGGAATGAAATCGAAAATTTCGATACACGACGAGGAAATTTCTCCCTCGGAGTCTTCCAAGACAAAGATCACAATTCCGAATTATCGCCTTCCTGATCGTCAGTTAAACCTTAATAATTGATCAGCAACCTCGAAAACCCCTGAATACCAACGTTGGTGTGAATCCGTTCATTTTTGATAACCTCATTAACAAGCAACCAGTCAAATACCGCGAATATGTGATCTTAAAATAGACATAACTTTTGAAAGGAACAACGTAGGGCAACGCTCAGGGGCTGTTTTTGTAGAGGAAAACTAGTACTAAAAGATTAGATAGGTAGAAAAAATTACAAAAATTTTGTTACACACTTTTTCTAACCTCAAACATCCCCAAAATAGCCATTTTTCGGTTACATTACCTCAAATATCTCAAAACCCTGACGTGATGGGACAATTCTCAGTTCGGATTCGGATTCTACGCAAAAAACTAGTTCGGAAACGACTCTCAGCTGCCCAACAACAAACAAAACCCCATTATTTGCAGATCTGTGTTATTAATGTTTTTATTCTACTATACCTCACTGTAAACAGTTTGCCATATATGGTTTAATGTGAGAATTCTTAAGCTGTTGCCTGTAATGATATGTAAATAATAATATGCCGTGATTATAAACGTTTTAATCATTACTTCAATCCTGTTTGTAAATATAATATACATAGTGTACATCCATATATTAAACATAAAAGTAGGTATTATTTGTAGTAACATCTGTATATTAAATATTTTGTTTAGTTCGTGTGATGATAAGGCATAGCTGTAGATGGACATGCTTACAATTGAATCATAAATAATTGAATTCTAATTAATTGAACTATAGAGACATGTATGAGAAATACTAATGCGAAACATTATCGTAAAATTTGATTCAAACTATAATTTACGGTCGATTCACGGTGTATGGTTACTTCACACGGCAAGAAGTTGAAGTTAATATTTTTAAATACTCACACACACATACACACGCTCGCTCACAATGTGTATTGTGTGTATATATGCACATAATAATTTTTATCTTCCGCAATTATCTGCATCGATTCCTAACAGATCAGAATAGAGTACATGAAGACAATCATTGACTCGCTGAAACGTGGATTTTATATCTGCATTTAATGAAAAAAATATAGTCATTCATGTATGTCTTTCACTAAAACTATGACCACGAAGTAAAGACAGCAAGCAACGCGTTATTTGTAATTTTCCCGTTACTTTTCTTATATATTCTCGTTTCTTTGTTATAATAACGATTTAATAATGACAAATATTGTTATGACGATTGTAACGGTAACATCAGGGTTGGAAAGTCACTCAATCGTTACTTGTAACGGGTTGAAAAAAATCATTCGTTACTGAAATTTGTCATTTTATCGCGTTACTTTTTACTCGTTATTTGTAACGAATATATTACGCGTTACTCGTTACTACTAACTTTTTTAAGTAAGTAATGATAAAAAGTTATTTTTAAAAATGACTTTTCCAAACTTATAAAATTAGCATAACTTTAATGTGTAGTTAGTTATCGTTATAATCATAAAAGAATTGCAATGTCATCCTTATTATAGAAAGTAATGATAAGAGTAACATCGTTACATTATTTGCCATCCCTGTTACGAAGTAAATGTATATACATATATCGACCTAATAATAAATCAAAATATTTAACAAATTGACGTATTTTGGAATATTAAACACAAGTTTAACACAGATATTGGTTTCATACAGAGTAATAATTAATAATTTCTTCGATTACTTCGCTTACAGAAATGAATACAATCCATCCGAATATTGTTCGAATTATCCAATTACGCAGTTATTGATATTCTTTTGATACTCCGAGCACTTTCAATGTATCGTCCACTATGTACAGTTCATGTATGGTAAGCACATTTCGAATTCCTTTAAAACATCATATTGATCGATTATGCGATAGAAAAATAAATTATTGTAATCCTATATCGGAAGAATAATAAATATATTTTTAATCATATTTTATACAATGACGCTAAATATTAAATACTATTTTCAACGTTATTTTCAAAATGTAATTTAATTATAATTATAAAAAATAAACAAATTGTATAAAAGTTACGTTTATAACATACTGTTTTATTGAACAACTCAATTTTTATAATTGATTTATTTTATTTGTTATTATTTTTACTGTCATAAACTAAAATTTAAAGATGATGACAAAAATTTAAATTTTTATAAATAAGTATTTCAAAGTATTCAAAATAATTCATGCAAAGTTTCATTGCGATTTATTAATTAAATACAAAGATTAGAATAAATAAATATTTCGTTTATTTACTGGACAAATAGTTCACATCCCTATGTAATTTTAACCAATAGGAAATAAAATTACAACGTAACTTTATATAAATAATCTTGAATACTACTATATTATTGAATACTACTACTATATTAAAAAACTGAGATATTAAAAATGAGATTTTTGTCATTTATTTTATAATACTTTTCTACTCTAGAGCACAGATTTAAAAAAATTATTACTTATTAAAAAATAACGTATATATATATATATGATCCAGATATTATTTTTAAATGTAATTTAGAATAATCTATAATTTTTTTATAATTTTGTTATCATTTTAGGTATCTACGAAACATCATCAAGGAATTTTAGAAATTTAACAAATATTAGAAACATGGGATATATTTTAACTCTTACCTTCGAATGAAAAAAACTAATAAGGATTATTATAAGCACGATAATACTTATTGTTATTTGATGAAAACTAGAATCTGCTAAAATTATAGACTGGCTGCGGTAAATGAAATACACATAAAAGTTCCATATGGCGAAAATATACAGATAAGAAAGATACCGCTTAGATTGTCCTAAGAAACGAGCTATTCAAACGAGCCAAAGCTATAGAACGTCCCAATTATCAACAATGGTGCTAGTACTATCTGTATCGTCTTCATAGTAATAATTATATGCGTAGAACAACGTAGATTGCTCAAAAGGACAGGAAGTGTTTAAGGGAGGATTCCACTTTTGAGGCTTAAAAATAATACTTAAATTTAGCAATTTTTTGCAGTAAACTAATAAAGTCAATCAAAAATCGTTTTAAAAGGCTTTAATATATAAAGTTTTGAGAGTACAAAAAACGTTTTTTTTTTTATTTTCATCTCGCCATAAGATGGCGGCGTTATAATAGAATCATTGAGCCTCCTTCTTCAATGAGTGTATAAACAGTGTGCACGAAATTCTATACACTATTGGATTTGGAACAAAAATCCAAAGAATTTTATTTTCTACATACTTAAAGCTATAGAAATACATAGGATTTTTTCAAAATATTGATTTTTGTAAAAATGGTCAATGTTCGAAAAAAAATTACGATTTTTGACAAAAATTTCCATTTTTAAATGTTAATAACAAAAAAATTTTTCAATTCTTCTATAGCTTTAAGTATGTAGAAAATAAAATTCTTTGGATTTTTGTTCCAGATCCAATGATGTACAAAATTTCGTGCACACCGTTTACACACTCACTGAAAAAGGAGGCTCAATGGTTCTACTATAACGCCGCCTTTTGTGAGGCAAAAAAAATTTTTTTGTACTCTCAAAACTTTATATATTAAAGCCCTTCAAAATGATTTTTGATTGACTTTATTAGTTTACTGCAAAAAATTGCCAAATTTAAGTATTATTTTTAAGCCTCAAAGGTTTCTCCTTAAAAAATAATTATTCTGTCTTATTTATTATACAATGGTGGATCCAGAGAGTTATTCTATGGAAGAGGGGCGATGTAACAAAATGTAAATATTTACTTATTATTTATATAATAAATTCTAGCTTCCTTTTTTATTCTTTGAAAAGCGTTCAATAATAGCATCAATATTTGCACGAATCGAAATACAAGATGTCCCGAAATTTTTTGCCAAGCGCTCTTTTGTAGAGCGTACTAAATTCGAGTCGAAATGTCCTCATTTTGTAATTTTCGCAATAGTTAACAAGATATTAATTACTAAAAGTCACTAAATATTGGTTTTTAATAACTTGTTACTCAAATACTATCAACTTTACAGAAAAACTGCGAGAGATAAAAATTGTTTATTTTCTTGTTATAAAAGTTTTGAAAATTTTTTCAGATTTTTTTTAGAATTTTTTAATACCGTATTTTCTCATATTGGTAAAAATAGTTGACAATATAAAAAAATGCAGTTAAAAAGTTAATAAAAAATTCTTAGAGTTCTATGAGAAGAACATGATTTTTGTCTCTTGTAGTTTCTTGTAGTATTCTTTTCTCTCAATTCATTTATTTAAAACCGATTTTTTTTAATATGAAATTTTACGAAATTGTTTGGAGAACTTTGGAGAGAGCGGTCGCACTTTCGTCCTCTCCATCGTATCTATCACTGCTCATTTACTTCATTCATTGCGTTGAAATTGTATTTGCGATTTGTATGCATTATACAATGATCGCCGCTAAAAATTATCGACAACTCTAACAATTCTTATTTGAGAAAGGATTTTATCATGCTTCTTAATTACTGGTTCAATAATATATTTTATAAATTTCTCGAAGTAAACAGTAATTCTATGAGACTGCAACGCGAACAGCGTTCATGAGATTCTTGAAATTTTGCAAACTTTCCGCGTCTTAGCTCGCGAATAAAACCTATTCTACATTAAATGCAAGCTGATTGTAAATTTGTTGCGACAGCCAATATGAAGCGTTGATTTCAAAATGCTAGCTTCAGATTGGCTATCGCAACAAACTTGCGATTAGCTTGCGCTAATGTAAAATGGGCTTAAATCACTTATATATGAAGCAGTGTAACATGAAAGAAAGAGAGACGAAGAGTGCGTGTATGTGTGTACATATAAAAATATGTATACACACACACACGCACGCACGCACGTACGCACGCACGCGCGTGTGTGTATGTGTGTATATAAAATTACTATAATATTATTAAATACACTCGCTTTATGTACTTGCTCACTTGCATATTACATGCATAAGTTTATTAATCTTTTATATATATAGTGAATCTAATTTTAAAGCTGTATACTATATTATATATAGATTCTTTCGAGACGAGATGCGCAAGTTGGCATAAATCCAATCTTTACGAGCTATTACTCGATACATTTGACTTGCCCGTCGAGAGCGAAGACGGACTTCTCGCGGAAACTTTAGCGAGAGAGTTTTCCATTCTGCTGATCAATTTTTGAAAAGTGTTTCTTTTGATCATACCACTATTCTCAGGCGAATCCTCGATCTCGTCGCTTCCCTCGTTACCGCCTCGTCTATTTGGCTCGGTGGAGCAGTTAAAATCGCTCGTGACTCGTGATTTTCGGTTGATGGTAAATCGATTCCAAGCCTTTTTGTCCAAACTAACTGATTTAGCATCTTCGGTCTCTCTCTTGTCGATAATCTCTCTTTGTCGTGCCGTGAAGTCAGCCCACAACGCTATATCGTCATACAATTGTTCATTCTCATCGGCATCGTCGCGAACACACAAGTCGCTTCTTGGTGACTGATAATGCTCCGTCTCTTCTCGAGCGTTCGTTTCCGATTCTGTGTCATACATCGCGTTAAATTCAGCTTCGTTTACTTTCGTACTACATGAATTCTGTGTTGACTGCAAAACAAGATTATTTGCTATCGAAAGAGAGTACATTTCAATTAAAGAAAGTTACATTTCTATTAATGAAACAAATTCTTATCATCGTAAGGGACATTTTACCTGCTGAGAATTTTTATTATGCCCTTCTTGATGGGCACTAACATCGTCGTAAAATTCTTGCTCATTTTGACCTTTCACGGGCAATTTTACTTGATAAATTGGTCTGGGTGGAGGAGGATGATTATATTCTGGCAATTCCTCGCTTTCGTCCGTTAAGAATTCTGCCTGATAATCCTGTTTCGACGTCAGATCGGACACGTCGTCATAAGTAGGCGTTTTTTCCGTATCCAAAGATGATGCTGAATTCGACGAAATTTTATCTTTGCAACGATACCTCTCTCTCTTGTCCGTTTCTTTGCTGGGAGATTCTCTTCTACTCAAAACTCTATTCAGAAAGGACTTTTTTTGTTGAAACTTGCACGACGTTTCAATCTTGGCACCATCTTTGACGAATCTTCCATGTGGAATCAAACTCTGTATCGAAACAAAACGAAAACTCATATAAATGTAATAAACATATAATTATATTAACGGCACATTTATTTTTGCAATATTACACAAGTTTTGATTAATCATTTAATAAAGTAACTATAATATGAGTAAAAATTTATTTATTGCTCTATTGAGAGAGAGAGAGAGAGAGCGAGAGAGAGAGAGAGAGAAGCATTGTGTCTTTGCAAAGCAAATTGTTAATTGCAATCATTAAAACTATGCTTACTTCCACATCGTCGTAAAATTCTTCTCTTTTCTCGATCACCCCGTCAGCGATAGATACATCGATAGATGTATCATTATCCAAGTTCCGTTTCGGCTCGATCCTTGTAGCGTCTATTCGCAAAAATGTAACGATATCATCGTATGTCTCTTGAGACGATATTGCATCACAGGACTTACCTTCCATCATCTTCTCATTTCTCTCGTTTTTTTTGTTGTGCGCACCAATGTCATCATACGCGATAGCTTCCTCCTGCTTTTCGTCACTAATACCAACCTGCTTTTCTTTTGGCAATACCATATTTTGATAACGCGTTTCATTTCTCAGGTCTTCGATTCTGTGATAAATGTCATCATCATCGTCGTCGTCACCGTCGACGGTCGCTCTGTAAGAGGACACCGTAAGAATCCCGTTATCGGGAGGTAAAGAGGGAAGCCTTCGAGGTATTCGGGCAGGTAGCGAAGGCGCCTTTTCATCTGTGTTCTCTTTTCGCTCAACTTTATTCCTGTTACTCGGCAATTCGGCTTTGACCGTTGAGTTATCGACGACAAGTAATTTTTCAGCATCTTCTCTCTCTTGACGTCGCGTTGCTTCGTTACTATGGCTGTGAGCGTCTGTTAGCGAGGATTCGACAATAGTAGCCCGCCTTTTCTTTTCGTGAGCTTCCACTACTTTGTTCCTTTCGCTCTCATTGCAACATTCTAATTCGCAGATTTTTGCTATCCATTGGTCCATCTCCTTTGGCGATCTCGCAATAAACTGTAACGTTTCGTTTCCAGGGCTATATATTTCGAAGGCTGATTCGCTCTTTTGTCGGTCACGAGGAATCATATTTGGCGCCGGGCGGGCCTTATAACCCTGAATCGAATAGATCGCATACGCTCGATTGTGCCGTTCGCTTCGATAAATGAGTAGATGCGATCCAACCAATGCGATCCAGCAAGCACGACTTTCCGATAGAAACAACTTCTTTCCTTCTTTCCTGTAGAGCGGGCCGCATTTGTAACACTTGCTTTTAATTTGCATCGCCGAAACATTTTTGTAAATTCCGATCAGCATCTGGCCCCCCTCGTCTCGATCGTCGCTTTGCTTGAGATATTTCACATTCGTGATCGATGACGCGCCCGCGGTCTGGAGAGAGCCGCCATTTTCGAAGGTTTCGTAATAATCCTGATGAGTGTTCGTGCAAGGGTGAATCTGGGTACCCTTTTGAGATTCTTCAATTCCGACGTATTCTTCTGAATCGGCTTTACTCTTGGTCAACAATAAGCTTCTCGGCCCGGACTTCATATCCAAGTAAGGTTCCGGGGATGACGCTCGAGCCATCGTGGCGCTTAAAGTGCTTCTCGACCGTACCAACAGCTTCTCCCTCAAGCTCTCGAGCGTAAGCGGAAGCTGCGCGTCGCCAAGACATTCCAGAAACGTTATCGTTTCTGTCAACAGATTATATATCTATATATACATCCCGTAGAGCGCAACAGTTTACACTCATTTGCGCGAAAGACATAAAAAATTTCCCATGTTTGTCGTTTAAATATACATACCTCGCAGTACTTGCAATATATCGTTAATGTTCATGTCGATTTCCATATTGTTGTATCTGTGTCGGTGCGCTCACGTGCTTGCTTTTAAGAAATAATTGCCTGAGAAGCCTGAAATTTTCCATCAAAAGGATTTATAATAATGGTAAAGCTTACTATAATATATTAATCTAGTGAGGTCTATAATGCACTCTGGAGCGCACCATTAGAAGAGTGTGTTCCACTCAGTCTCCAACAATTATACTGTGATGTAAAAATTGTAATATCATTTTCTTTGTCAGGGACTCGCTGATTGACTAATACTGTTTTTTTTTTTTTTTTTTTTTATAAAAAAGAGTTAGAAAGACAAGTACTTGTTTACCTTCCTTTTCTTCGTCAGGTTGTAGATTTTCATAGTATTAATGTAGGGAAGGCGCGTTTTAATATAGGTATGTATTATAGAATTCACTGCTTATATTAGCGGTTTTCTTATATTTTACTTCCCGCAGGATGTACCGCGCGAGATACAACCATTGCAGATAAGACTTTATCAAGCATTTAAATTTTCAACAGTATAAACCATATAAGTGAGATATTTCCTATCTCGTATCTATTCTACATAACATAATTCTACATGTATCTACCGTAATAAAAATGGTTGCTAAACTATTTTATGTGTACAATATGCAACGTAATTAACACAATGTGTATTAATTCAAGAATACAATCCATATACATATAATATATGTAGATATTTTATACTAGAAATGGAAAAAAATGAGTCATTAATATTTCTATATCATACTAAATATTCGGCGCAAAACACGACATCGCGTCGTCCAAGTCACTACGATCCGAGTTATCGTTGTCTAGTTATCGTTATCCAGGTGAAGAATTCCTTGAACGTTTTACTCGATGACGCGGCCGCGTTTGCCCCGTTGAGTTTTATTAACTTTGAACGATCGACCGTTCGTCCACCATCAGATCACTTATTCTTTATTCTGCAAACTCTCAAGCACCGCCCTTTCGATCCATTCGCTGTAGCTTTTACTTAAATTTGAATTAATTAAATGTAGTCAAACTTAGGGGCGTAGCACAAATTATAAGTAGAACTACTGGAACTGAACTTTCCTACGGGCGGCAAGGTACGTAGAGTATAATTATGGAGAGATGTAGCGAAAAAAGGCAATTTATAAAAAAAAGAAAAAATAGGATACTTGCCAGATTCAAGACGCTTTCCCCAAGACTACTCAAGAGGATCACGCAGGACGAAGAGATTCGTTTGAACTACGTGTCAGCTACGCGGCTTTCAAATGAAAGGAACATTGGTAAATAAAGATGCGCTGATTCTCGAATGATCCTCGGACTCGATATCGTCCATGTATCGTCAAGCGACTGTCGTCTCGTTAGAATTCAATTAGCGCGACGTGACACGTGCGAGCGACGTAAGACGACTCCCGCAGAGACGTTCGTGCCCAGTCTCGTCTGCCTCGTACGTCTCCGCGCGTTGGCTTTACCATGTTAGCCCTGCCGCGTTTCCCCTACGCCTCTTTCTCGATCTGACTCATTCATCGAGTCCATCTCTTCGCTACCATTTCGTCGTTCTGCTGTTCTCTGTTCTACTCTCTAATTCTCAGTCTCTCGTCATTTAAAACGATCATCAGTTTTAATTAATCGTGTTTTCTTCGTCGACGAAAGAAATGACAAGACTCATTCTTTTACACTCTGCATGATCCTCTTCATCTAGCGCGATCTCGTAGAAAGGACGTTAAATTTACTGAAAAATTCTTCAAATTCTATATGGAAGATCGATTGCAATTGCTTTCGTAACATCAATATCAGATCAATAGAAAAATATAGTCGGTATTAAGGCCTTTTTTGTACAGATTTGTTATATGTATATGTATATTAATATGTCGTTGAATATTTACTTATAACACAAGAAATCGAGAAGATTTGCCTATGTAATGTAGCCTGCACCGCACATTTATTCGACATGAAAAATTAATGACAGACAAAAATATTATAATTATAATATTAAACGTCTAAATCTAAACTATTCTGTTTCATATGAATAGTTTCTGAAACGAGAATATAGACTGCTACATGAATATCTACTACACTGTAAAAAAAAAATCAGGAAATTCAACTCGAATTGAAGTAAATCAATTTCTCAGAGTTAAATATAGCGAACTAACTGTCGGGTTGTGTCAAGAAACATTTTAACTTCCTTTAATATCTTCCTTGTGTTAAATAAATATTGAATATATTTCTATAAAATATTTATATAGTTGACTAAACTATTATTGGTAGTAAAGAACATAATTGTATCGTCAATTAAAATAATTTTATGAGCACGATGAAACAAATCTCCAGTAGAATAGATTTTAACATTTAGACTAGACTATTTTACAAAGTAACGAGAACTCAAAATTATTAATAGTAACAATTTTGAGGTAATTTGTACTTTGTCTTCGAGTGAAGTAGATTTAATAATTTATCTAATATGATAATTCATTAAATTTATTCGATCCCGTTACTCTTTGTAACATGATTTAATTAATCATTAAAACTTTCTATTATATATAAGATCGATTAATTAGTAGCCGCCTTAAAAAGAATGTTTGTCGCCATGATGTAGCAAGAAGTGTATTTTCATACCATTGAAATACCATTTGACTCTTACGAGTACACGCGCCATCTGTTGATAGCTCCACAAAACGGTCCCTCGCTCTAAATTAAAATGAAGTACCGTTAATAATTTATTGAGTCCTATTATTTTTACGTTACATTCATGTTTATTTACTACCAACAATGATTCGATTAATTTTGTAAATATGCTTATACTGTACCCGCTTCATCGCATTGAATTACGTAAATAATTAGTTCAATGTACCTTTCTCTATGATTGATTGGATCTCCATGTAAATGCAGATTTATTATTATTACGCAGTTAAATCATTCTTATGATAGTTGCATGAATGAATATCTATTAATACACTTAACCATATTTTAGATCGGTCAATCATATACTTTGACTAAATTTTTAAGAATATTTTACTACGTGAAGTTATTCATCTAATTAGTGAAGTTATTTGTCTAATTAGGATTTTATTCTTCTTGACTTAATTATACTTTACTTAAATCGCGCAACCTCAGATTTAGTTCTTTCCACTCTGAGTATTTCTTACAGTATATATAATGATATTAATGTTACTTTTGATTATAATTAGTCGAGTTCAAGAAAAAGAAAAATCGCTTTTATTGACAGCTTTTAAAAAGTTTCAGATTGCCGCTCTACAGTTTTAAAAGTCATTAAAAGATACATGCGTTTTGCCTCTGTAAGCGTGAAATACTTTTAGCAAAATAAGTACATATATAGTCATGTGAACATGTCAAACATGAGTAATTTAAATCTTACGAGAGTATAAGAAATCACAGAATAATTAATAACTCTTTATGTCGCCTTCCTTTCAAAATAATTCCCAAGGAACTTTACCGCGAGTTTTTTCTAATGGTTTGACATAAACGTCGTTCGCAATTTCCGACATTTCTGTCCATTGATCGGCCTTGGCTTGCTCCAGTTGCTCATCGACTTCTTTGTAAACTGATGTTCGTATGCTCTGAACACATAACAAATAATTAAATTAAAACGCAATTATCATTTTGCGTCAGTTGTCATCGTAGATTAAAATTTGAAGCATAACTTTTGTTAATTTTAAAAAAGAATTAAACAAAAAAAAATATATATGGGTCATTCTCCGTCAACCGATGAACCCGCCTACCCAAAATTGGTTTCCATAAAAATAATCGAGTAAAGTCTTAAAATTCGTAAAAAAATAAGGGCTAACAAATGCCGTGTGCAGATTTTTACTACACAAAATGGCCGACACAATATGGCGGCCAAAAGGTAGAATTCGAATTATAACACTTTTTCATCACAAAGGAAACATTCATTTAGGGTGTTTTTGGGATCGCTGATTACGAATCCATCATCAGATTTTCAAAATTCAAAATGGCGGATTCAAAATGGCGGATGACAAAAACTGAAATATAAACTGACTGGAATAATTCTCAT